TTTTGGAATGTCCAAGGACTTATTTGTTCCAAAAAATTGTCCAATGACTTATTTAACATGTTTTGGAATGTCCAATGATTTATTTGTTCCAAAAAAAAGTCTAAGGACTTAATCACTCCAAACAAAAAAGTCCATTGGTTTTTATTATACTTTTCCCAAAATAATAAGCTAGTTCAAGACCCAAAAATAATTTCAAATAAATACATAAAAGTCTTCAAAAGAAGGTGGCCCCCTCTTCACAAAACCCCTGATTTCCCTTAGCTAGATACCTGTCAGAAGAAAAACATAGCGTGAGCCAAAATGCCAGTACGTATTATGAATACAAAAGAAGTAAAATATAAAGTAATTAAAAAGATCAATTTCAATTGAGATGGAAGCGAAAGTTCCAAAATATCTCTAATTCAAAATCACCACCACACTCCGGAGTAATCAAGAATTCAGGCTGAAACAACAAGGGGTTAATTTATAAATACCGAGCTTCCTACATGGAACAAAATCATAACATAGGATATTCGAACAAATCATAATACATTGGATTCGCAACTCCAAGGGTATCCAAAATCAATGGCATGCATGGCACTACATTGCATACCGATAACAAAGCTCTAAAGTCCTAGAGCCGACCCATATGCCTCCTGAGTAAAACAACTCATCACACCATGGTCAGCTCTCATCATAGTATACAAAAATCAGAAGGAGACGCCATGGACTAATCACATCGCCACGGGTCACGCCATTGGCGCCACAATGACATGTCAGTAGTACCCCTACAAGTGGTTAACTTAGTATTCTTATTCTCCAAACTAATCAAGAAAAGGGTTCTATGTATGCATGGACAAATATAAAACTAGCCTCAAGTCCGAGTATATTCACCATACATTAAGATCTTATTAAATTGGAATAATCAATAAACGTATTTCTCACATAAAATGAGCCAACAACGTGAATCAAAGTAAAGAGTTTCAAATATCAAAGTCTTGAACAATGAATATTGTTACAAGAATATTTTCGTGGATCAAAATTGCAATTATCATCAACGAAGCAATTAAGACAAATTATTCAAAACAAATGTCACAAAATAACAAATATAATCGAGTAGAGTGTCGTTGAAAGAAGTACGGAAATCCATACCTGACATGATATCTGACAGTACTAAAAGCCGCTAAAATACTTGGAATCTACGTGCAATTCTTCTCAACATTACTCCATTCTATTCAAAACATTACGTGCAATTCTTCTCAACATGTAAACGCTGATTATCTGCAAGCTAAGGGACGAGGGTCTAGTTTTATTGGGGCCCGAGGATATGGGTATTCTGGGGGCCAAGGATCTAGTTATGTTCCACCCAGTCGCGGGCCAACGGTAAATCATAATATTGCAAGTGGTCATGGTGAAATAAGACGTGGTGAGACAATGGCCAGAGGACGAGCCTTTCAGATGACAAGAGGTGAGACAGAAGAACATCCTGAAGTGGTTACATGTACATTCTTTGTTAATTCAGTATATGCCAAAGTTTTATTTAATTATGATGCAAATCGTTCTTTCGTATCACCATCATTTGTTAGTTGCGTGCAGTTAGAATCTAAAGTGTTAGATGATGTATTGATAGTAAAAACAATAAATGATAGTGAGGTGTCGGTTAAGGAAATGATTGATAATTGCTTCATAAACGTAGAAGGGTGTGAGGTACCCATATAATTATTTCCTATACCCTTTAAGAGAGTTTGATATAATTGTGGGCATGAACTGGTTGGCTAAAAATCAAGCTAATATAGTCTGCAATGAAAAGATGATTCACATAGATTTACCGGGGAAAGGACCGATTATAATCTATGGTGATAGGCGGGATCGTTATTCCAACCTTATTTTCGTTTTAAAGGCTCGGAAGTATGTGCAGAAAGGATGTATTAGTTTCCTTGCTTATACAATTGATATGAAGAAAGAAAAGAATAAGATGGATGATATTCCAGTTGTAAGGGAGTATCCGGAGGTATTTACAGAAGACTTGACAGGTTTACCCCCTGATCGATCGATAGAATTTCAAATTGAATTACTGTCTGGAACGGCGCCAGTTGTACGTACACCCTACAGGCTAGCTCCGTTTGAATTAAAGGAGTTGATGTCGCAGTTAAAAGAATTACTAGAAAAAGGTTTTGTTCGGCCAAGTACCTCTCCTTGGGGTGCGCCGGTATTATTTGTGAAAAAGAAGGATGGATCAATAAGAATATGCATTGATTACCGGGAATTGAATAAATTAACGATAAAAAATAAGTATCTTCTTCCAAGAATTGATGATTTGCTTGATCAATTGGTTGGGGCTACTTACTTTTCAAAGATTGATTTATGGTCCGGTTATCATCAACTGAAGATTCGAGGCGAAGATGTGTCAAAAACAACATTTCGTACAGGCTATGGCATTATGAATTTTTGGTTATGTCATTTGGACTTACAAATGCACCGACAACATTTATGGATATGATGAATAGAATATGTCGTCCGTATCTTGATAAATTTGTGATTGTCTTCATAGATGATATTCTAATATACTCTCGATCAGAAGAAGAGCATGCTCACCATTTACGACTACTGCTGGAATTATTGACACAAGAAAAGTTGTATGCTAAAATGCTAAAATGTCAAAATGTGAGTTCTGGCTGCGAGAGGTTCAGTTTCTAGGCCATGTTATTTTGGAAAGGGACATCAAGGTAGATCATCTTAAAATTGAAGCTATTGAAAAATGGGAAGCGCCAAAAACCCCAACCGAAATCAGAAGTTTTCTTGGATTGGTAGGGTATTATCGCAAGTTTATCCAAGACTTCTCTCGTATAGCTACTCCATTAACTAAGTTGACCAAGAAGAATGTAAAGTATGAATGGGAAGAGGATCAAACTCAGGCTTTTCAGATGTTAAAAGATAAATTATGCAGTGCACCAATTCTATTCTTGCCTGATGGAATGAAAGATTTTGTGGTTTATAGTGATGCCTCGAAGATGGGTTTGGGTTGCGTGTTGATGCAACGTGGGAAAGTAATTGCTTATGCCTCAAGGCAGTTAAAGGATCATGAAAAACAGTATCCTACTCATGATATGGAGTTAGCAGCAGTAGTGTTCGCTTTAAAATTTTGGAGGCATTATTTATATGGAACAAAATGTTAGATTTTCACAGATCATAAGAGTCTACAATATTTGTTCCATCAGAAAGATTTGAATATGCGCCAAAGACGATGGTTAGAATTGGTTAGTGATTATGATTGTGAAATATTGTACCATCCGGCAAAAGCAAACGTGGTAGCTGATGCTTTAAGCCGTCAAGAGAAAAGTGGTACCATCAAAGCCATAGCCTTAAGAGCTGAGTTACTACCAGGTATTCATGAAGAGTTGCAAAAATTTCAAGGTGAATCTATGAAAGAGGATAAGATTAAGCAAGAAAGACTTGGTGGAATGGTATCTGAATTTGAAAAGAATGGCAAGGGATTATGGAATTTCCAAAACAGAGCTTGGGTATCCTGTTATGGTAATCTCAGAGAGCGTATTTTAAGTGAAGCTCATAAATCACGTTTTGCTATCTACCCGGGTACAAATAAAATGTATCGGGATTTGAAACAGTAGTATTGGTGGGATAATCATCTGGCTTGGGTGGAATTAGCTTACAATAACAGTTATCATTCGAGCATTCAAGCTGCACCTTTTGAGGTTCTGTATGGACGAAAATGTCGAACTCCTTTGTGTTGGAATGAGATAGGTGAGGAACAGTTAGCTAGGCCTGAGTTAATGCAGCAAACAGCGGATAAAATTTGCCAAATCCGGGAATGAATGAAAATGGCTCAAGATCGGCAAAGAATTTATGCAGACAAACGTCGGAAGCCTATTGAATTCCAAATTGGGGATCGAGTAATGTTAAAGGTATCACCGTGGAAAGGGGTAGTACGCTTTGGAAATAAAGGAAAGTTGAGCCCAAGGTATATTGGACCCTTTCCTATCATTGAAAGAATTGGGGAGGTGGCTTACAAACTAGAACTTTCATTGGAGTTAAGTGGTATTCATAACACTTTCCATGTGTCAAATTTGAGGAAGTGTTTAGCAAATTCAAACGTAGCTGTACCTCTACCAGAAATTAAGGTTGATGAGAAATTATGTTTTGAAGAAACCCCTGAAGCTGTTATTGACTTCAAGATAAAGAAGTTGCGAAATAAAGAGATCATGTTAGTAAAAGTTCAGTGGCGTTATCATAAAGGGCCGGACGCCACCTGGGAATCAGAGACAGATATGCGAATAAAATAACCTTATTTGTTTACTTAGTGGAATTCTGGGACGAAATTCTTCTAAGGAGGGGATATTGTAATGTTTGGTTCCATTAACCAGTTGATCAGGTACTGATATAATTTGGCAATGGAAGGTTCGTTGTTAGTGTTTGGCATACAAAGGTTGGAGAGGAATAGATTTATGGTTCTTTCTATATAATCATGTTTGGGTAATGTAATTATATATATATATATATATATATNTATATATATATATATATATATGTGTGTGTGTGTGTGTGTGTGTGTGTGTGTGTGTGTGTGTGTGTGGTGGGGGGGATTATTTTATTTATGGAAAAAAAAGTTGCACGGTAAGTACCTTAGAAGCCAGCCATGCACTTACCATAAATAGCAAGTGCATGCGAATGGGGAAGAGTTTACGGATTTTGATATCAAAAAGTTTTCTTTGGAGAATATTGGAAGATCATAGAGTAGAAGCAGATTTCAAAGCTAATTTTAAGGCGAATGTGAGTTTTATATTGATTTGGCTATATGGTTGTTTTGACACCATTGTATAACTAGATAGAAATGCTAGTATATATGTTCAAAGGAAATTTAAAACTGTATTATTATTGTGTTATATCGCTTGTTTACACTTCAAAAAAAAGAATTCATCGGACAAAGCAGTGTCCGGATGAGACCTCATCATACAAAGCGATGTCCGGACAAGATCCTTCACCGGCTAAAGTGTTGTCGGGATACGTGTCTCACCGGCCAAAGCGTTGACCGGATATGTGAACCACCGGCCAAAACGTTGACCGGATACATGCCTTACCGGAACAAAACATTATCCGGATATGTATCCTTACCGATGAAGTGTTGACCGAACAAGAGAAGGCATTGGGCAAAATAATGTCGGGACATGACCATATAATCTTCTCACCAGACATAGTATTGTCCGGACAGGACTATGAATTTCATAAATAATGGTGTAACTGCGATAGAGAAAACGACAATATAATGAAAGATGAAATGTTATATTAAGATCTAGATTTGATATATCTTGGATTTTGGAAATATGTTATGCTTGGTATAAGAAAAATATGCTCACTAGACCTTTTGGTCTAACGCTCAATTATTGGACTAATTTATTTTACAGGTCGTCCATCATCTTAGGATAAAGGCAAGAGAAAAATCTAAAGAAGTGTTATTTAGATGAAAGTGTTGTAATTGATAAATTTTTTGTTAATCCATACTTTCTTTTGTCATGTAAAATTTCTTTGGAATGTGCTATAACTATTATGTTGATGTATGAGCATATTATGTGAGTTGTTTCGTATACATCAAGATCTTATTAAATTGGAAAAATCAATAAACGTATTTCTCACATAAAATGAGCCAACAATGTGATGGAAGTAAAGATTTTCAAATATCAAAATCTTGAACAACGAATATTGTTACAAGAATATTTTCGTGGATCAAAATTGCAATTATCATCAACGAAGCAATTAAGACAAATTATTCAAAACAAATGTCACAATACAATAGATATAAGCGAGTAGAGTGTCGTTGAAAGAAGTACGGAAATCCATAACTGACACGATATATGACAATACTAAAAGCCGCTAAAACACTTGGAATCTACTAAAACCCTTCACCAACACCTAACATCCCAACATATACAACCTTATTAATTACCACTACTTTTGATGTATAACTGGATTTATCTCCACATCAAACCATCTTTTTGAGAGGTTTTTGATTAATTTTTAATGAAAATTACACATCAAAAGTAGATTAATAACTGATATAAAAGAACAAATATGCTGGGGCCTCCCCCTGTATATTAAAAAAGAAAGAATATCAAATATGCAATTTTACACTAACATTATAATCTATTTTACATTAAAAAAAAAGACATTTGTATTGATGCCATTTTTTTTAATTTGTGGCGACTTTATTGCCTTTAAAAAAGAAAATTGATGTTTGGCATTTTGTAGAGACTTAAATTCGATAAAGTAGCAACGATGTCTTATTTTAGAAAAATGTGTTCTTTAATGTAAAATAACAAAATATTTTAAATTTTCTTTCATACAAATCAATATTTTATGTATTCTTTTACTTAAGCCATCACATTCTAATGGAATATTCTTCTTTTACATAAATACTATTATGGTGATAAATATTATTATTAACCCATCAAACATTATCATATATGTGATAGGCGAATGGAAAGTGTAATAAAAAATCTGAACCCTTAATCACTCTTAATCTCCATGACTTACATTTAAAAAGAGAATTGATCTCGTACATTTCGTTACTGATGAGATGATACAAGATAAGATCCCTTTTAAGCTATATGTGAGATTGGTTTTAGAAAACAAGTTTGCAGTTGAGTTGAACTTTGATTAAAGAGAGTTTGAGTTGTCCTTCGTCTACACTCCATCACCATGTGCTTCCTTCCACTTATTCCCGCCATCTCTCTCTCCATCTCCATACCTTATTATTATTATTATTATTATTATAAGCAATCTCTCTCTCTCTCTGTCTCCAACTGTTACACTCACAGAGATCTGAGCAGTTACATTCTTCCTTCTCTTTCTACATCAAAACCCTCGTTGCTTGAAGCTAGCTTTTGATCCAAGGTATTGACATCTGTTGGTCCATTTGGTGAGCTTCTACCTTCTTCCATTTTCCCTTTTTCTTCTACCAAACCCTAATTCATTCATTTCATACTACTTCTCCAGGTTTGGGCAGAAAATAGAGATGGTGAACATCAACAACGACTTCCTCTTCGTTGCACTCGTCTTCTTCGCCACTCTTTTCTCTCTAGTTGCCACTGAGCCTATTCAAGATAAGAAAACCTTACTCCATTTTATTCAAAACATTCCGCATTCTCGTGTGATCAATTGGCATATAAATTCTTCAGCTTGTAGTAACTGGACTGGGGTAACATGTGATCATCATCGTTCATCCATCATATCTATTCGTTTGCCTGCACTTAGTCTTCGTGGCCCTATACCTCCAAATACTCTTGGTCGATTATCCAACCTTCAGATCTTGAGTTTGAGATCCAATGGGTTATCGGGCCCTTTTCCATCTGATTTGGTAAACCTAAGAAACTTAACGGCTCTGCATCTCCAATGCAATGGTTTTTATGGTCCATTACCTTCTGATTTATCTGTCTGGAACAATCTCTCTCTTCTTAATCTATCCAACAATGGCTTTAACGGAACCATTTCTCGTTCCATTTCAAGTTTGACTCACCTCACAGCTTTGAGTCTTGCTAACAACTCGCTTTCTGGGGAAATCCCAGATTTCAGTACCGCGAGTTTACGACTTCTTGATTTGTCCAGCAACAATCTCACCGGGACCGTGCCTCATTCTCTCAAGAGATTTCCCAGCTCCGCTTTTCTCGGAAACAATCTTGCTCCTGAAAGTTCCTTGCTCCCGACATTTTCCCCTACCGGCCAAGCACCAAGGAAATCCTCAAAACTGGGCGAACCTGCAATCCTTGGAATCGTGATTGGTGGTTGCGTGTTAGCATTGGGACTACTTGCATTGCTAATGGTTCTTCGATATTCGAAGAAAGAAGGTAGAAATAAGGATTTGCAGGGGTCGGATATGAAAGAGAAGGGGACGGAGAAGTTGCGATCTAGAAGCCAAAATGGGAACGGAAATCTTGTTTTCTTCGAGGGAAGTAACCTTGCGTTCAACTTGGAGGATCTTTTTCGGGCTTCTGCAGAGGTGCTCGGAAAGGGAAGTTTTGGTACGACTTATAAAGCATCACTGGAGGATTCAAGTGCGGTCGTGGTGAAGAGATTAAAGGATGTAAACGCAGGAAGACGAGATTTTGAGCAACAAATGGAGATTGTTGGAAGCATAAGACATGATAATGTGGTTCCTTTAAGGGCGTATTACTACTCCAAAGATGAAAAGTTAATGGTGTATGATTACTTCAATCAAGGGAGTGTTTCTTCATTGTTGCATGGTATGTCGTAACTATGAATTCTATCCATTTCTATCTTTCTACAGTTCTGTGTGTTGATGGGGTTGTGATTTTGCAGCAAAAAGAGGAGCGAGTAGGACTCCTTTAGATTGGGAGAGTCGGTTGAGGATAGCAGTAGGAGCAGCAAGAGGGATAACTCATATCCACACACAAGCTAGTGGAAAGCTTGTTCATGGAAACATCAAAGCCTCCAACATCTTCCTCAACAGTCACCGCTACGGTTGTGTTTCTGATCTGGGCCTGGCGGTGATGATGAGTCCGATGGTGGCACCGGTTATGAGGACTGGCGGATACCAATCGCCGGAAATAATTGACACCAGGAAGGTCTACCAAGCCTCGGATGTCTACTCTTTTGGGGTTCTACTTTTTGAGCTGCTCACCGGAAAGTCACCTACGCATGCAACCTGCGGCAACGAGGTTGTCCACTTGGTGAGATGGGTCCAGTCGGTGGTTCAGGAGGAATGGACCGCAGAAGTTTTCGATGTGGAGCTTTTGAGGTATCCGGATATAGAAGAGGAGATGGTTGAGATGCTACAGATAGGAATGCAATGTGTGACAAAGTCGCCAGAACAGAGGCCCAAAATGGCGGAGGTCGTGAAATTGGTGGAGAACATTCGAACCGGTGCACGCCGGCTCTAATAACACTAAATAGTCGGGAGGGTAGGTTGAGAAAACTTGATAATAACACAAAGTCATGTTCAATTGGGTTTAAATTTCGAAAGTTGCACATGAAAACAATTATATAACAGAAGGATAGAGTTTGTAGGATGGGTGGTTTACATTGTGTCTACTGAAATTACTAGCAAGAGTCAAAAGAATTTAAAAATGCCTTCATAGAAGGACATCAAGAATGAATTGCTTACAAGATACGAAGAATGGTTGGCATCAACAGATGTTTTACTTGTTTACGATTCTTGTTCTGGTTCCATCTGAAATTCATGTAAAGTATATAAGCTTCTGGTGCAGAAGATACCATTGTAATCCAAGAAATATTTGGAGAAATGAAAGCAAAAGACAAAGGGTTGCATAGGTTTACCTTCAACCTCCTCAAACTGAATTTCTTTAACTAGATCAGAAGAAGCATTGTACTCAAAGCTGCAAAAGTACACACAACACAAGGACTGGATAAGCAACATGCAATTATGAAATATATATCTCGATTCTCAAAGATGGAGCTTAACCATAATGGTGTAGTGCTAATATTCTTTTATGTGAGAGCCCTATCAGTATCAGAGATTTGATAAAAACCAAAATGAACTAATATCCTACTCGTGAGTAGGGTCTAAGTGTAGGAATACGCATGAATGACAAGAATTATTCACAATCCACTGTCTCGATCCACTTTGGCTACATCTGCCATTGTTATCTAGTATTATCTCCAAGGGTTGGGCTCTAGTGAGTAGTGAGGATGGACGTTACATTAAGAAGGGTAAGAAGGGATTTCCACCCTTGGGTCAATCCTAATTGAAGATCAACCCTAATGAGATGCACCAGATGAATTCACGTAGAAGCGCAATTTATGGGGTGAGATGAGATTAAGAGTGATAAGGGTCTAGATCCCTTCCTACTCTTCTCACCTTAACACCTATTCTCACATGATCCTTCGTCCTATTCTCCTATTTCCATCAACACAAAAAGATCATATTACATCTTTCTTATTTCTGAAATAAAAGTAACAAATAATCAAAATTCTATTTTTTTTAATCTATTTTAGATTGAAAATGCTCTACCCAAAAGTGTAGAGGAGCTATTTTCATAAAATCTCCCGGCTTGCAAAAGAGTAATCAAAAAGGCCTTGACAAAGATTTGGTAAATAGTACCAAAATTAAAAAGTAACTGAAGTGGATTAGTAGAAAAGGTAAGGAATGGTAACCTATCTGTCAGCTCTCTAATCCTCCCCCATCCGCCCTCAACCTCTCCAGCTCCCTTCCTCCCGTTTATGCTAGCTACAGGTCCTTACACCTGGGACTGCTACCCTAGTTATGTTTCTCCAAGAACTCCTATCATAGCTCATGCGCTCAAAACATTTATAGATAATGCTATACATCACTTACCACCTTCATTTAATGGGGCTCATCTTGCAAGTAAATAGGACCCACAAAATCACATCCACAATATGATTTATTTTGGCTATTTGACATTTCAGCACATTCATCTTCTTACATGGGATGAGGAGAAACGAGAACATGACTGAGGGACGTATTAAAGAAGAACCAAGATGGAACCCGTAAAATGAAGAACATAAGATGGAGGTAAATTGTATGAAGAAATAGGATCATGAACTAGGATAATCATCAGCTATGCATGCTCACAAGTTATACCTTTTCAGAATCAAACCCCAAATGGGGTCCCAGCTTATTAAAATTGAACAATATTTGACATAATGTTCATTGTTTGAGAATCTGATCTTCAAACTTAAATCAAATGTGTATTGATGTCAAGTGTCAACTTTTGAGCTCTTCCATTATGTATTTGTTAACCATATGTCTCTCCTACCTTTTCTAAAACCAACATATACAGCAGTTACTTTAAGGCCTAAAAGAGTATGCATATATGCATAAAAGTCTCTACGCAATTGATCAAAAAGCTCATCATTTTTCACATATATGACAGATACAGGCAAGATCGCATAAAGGGAAGTACAATTTGCATAGGGGAATAGTATTTGTGTTACCTGTTAGATAAGTGAACTTCCAATTCGTAATTTGATGTGGTCTTCATAGATTCCACCAACAAAGTTACAATCTCAGTCTTCCGAGTACTAGCCATGAGAAGATCATACTCAGTTGGAACGATAACGGCAAAGAAATTATCGCTTAATTCACTCAAACAAAGTCTCTCAACTGCAGCAAGGGCAATCCGCCTTTTAAGTGCACGTGCCTCCGGATCAACAATATAGATGGCAAAGTCAGTAATTAGCAGAATTCGTCGTTTCATCTTTCCTAAACCTGTAAACTTCAGAACTTTGTCAGAAAAGATTACTCCCCTGTCACCTGCACCGGAAAAGAGGACATGGCATTTAGAAAATTAGGTTCACAAGATGCAGTATGTGAATGGGAACAGACAAACATCTGGATTATCTACTAGATCTATCATGCTCGTCAAAATTGAAATTGGCTTAAGCATGTTGAGTGCAAAAACAGAGTGCCTTAAAGACATCAGAAACTTTCGCATCTGTTATGAATTGGACTGATTTAAGTGAAAAATGAAAGAAGGATTGAATTAGTCATATGTGAGGATGTATTTTAGCAGTGAAACAAAGAACAATCTAGCTTTCGAGAGGCTAGAACTCTCCTATCATATAGAACTCACTAATTTTCTGCATACCTCACCCCTCTTGCAACCTCCCTATTCATACTAGACCTTCATTAACATAAGTACCCAAAATACCCCTTCTTAACTATTCTAGAATATTACGTAACGATGGGCTCGGGCTTAAGTAGGTTCACAACATCATCAAAGCTTCAAATTTTCATCAAGCCAGCTGGAGATTCTTAAAATTCGGTCTTCTGATTGGCAAGTCCTTCAAGTGATATATATCATCCTCTTTAGAGATGATACCGAAACAGATTCATAGAATTCTCTTTACACCAATGTATCAAAACCTAGCGGAGAAGAAAAGCATTCATGGAAAGAGTACGGAGTAGGAAGAAGCTTTTTCATTCTGAGAAAAGAAATGCATTTATAATGAATATAAGGAACATCATTAGAAGAGTGATGTCAAGAAAACAATACTTAAATTTGTAAAATCAATTGAAGATGGTTAACAACAGTAGTTAGTAAACCTATCAAGTGAAGTTCACCATCACCCTCCATTACACTAATTAGGAGGACGATGATAATAAACACACAAGGAATGAGAAGCAACTGATGTCAAAGAGCATAATTAAAAATAATACAATAGCTCATTTTTTAATCAGCAAGGAGGTTTATTTTATTTTACTCTTACTTCAGACAGAAGCAGGAAAAGAACTCATGTACGTGACCCAGAAAATTTTGGGCAAACCACATTTGGTAGAGAGTCTTGAGAAACCACTATTACACTACAAATTAGTCACTGAGGAATTGCCTCAGTTTCGACCTCACTGTTCTTGTGGACATTGTGAATGTGGTGGTGTTCAGGAGATTGAAAAATACTTTCAACATCCTCACGTGATGAATTTCTCGATGGCACTTCACGAGTCATTCTTGCAGATTGGAGGTCAGATCCTCTTAATGGATGCTAGTCCACAAAGGGCAAATTGCATGAAAAAGTAACGTTCTTTAACTTGATTCCTATTTTAGGTAATGTACTTTCAAAACTTTCATTTTGGTACCTAAAATGTAAAGTTTTAAACATTTAAGTACTCGGGTAACTAGTTGAAGCATTAACCACCGGTTACCATGCTGATGTGGTATCCAACTCAATATTATTTGCTGACATGGATATCTTAATCTAAAATTAGTTTTTATGCATTGCGTTTATTAGAAGAAAGAGTTAATGTTTCAACCGGTTACCCGGGTACTTAAATGTTTAAAGATTTACATCTTAGGTACCAAAATAGAAGTTTTGAAAGTATGTTACCCAGAATAGGAATCAAAGTTTAAGTTAGTTACTCTTTCCTGCAATTTGCCCTTCCACAAATTAACAGAGTTTTCTCTTCAGTGATGCAGAAGGAACAGCAAAGAAACATCTCACAAGATGGACAGCAAGCCTTGGCTTTCAATGCAAGATTCTTAGGATTGTTTCATTTCTCCAATTGACAAGGGCCTTGCTACCTAGCATAATAAACGCAGAAATTGCATAACAGCATATGCACTTATAATACCTAAGAAAACTTAAGTACGTTTAAATTAATCGAATCCTCCTTAATAACATACCGAGACAATACTACATTTTCAATTACTTATGATGGAAAATTCTAGTTCATATATTGCTAGCTACCTGAAGCTTACATATCCGATGGCTCATACCATATATCTTCAATGAATAGAGATAATAAAAGCAACGCCAAACCCCTCTAAAGCCCAAACCTACATTTTTCTTACCCGCTGTCCCCCTTTCTTGGCACTTCCTTTAAGGGGTTGTCTTATAAGAAAATTATATCCGATTGAATTCAACTGATTTAAACTAGCTGCATCATCATCGACCAATTGATGAACTAAATATTAGCATTTTTAAGCGGTAAGCTAGTTAATTTACCATTTGACTTCGATCTCTCAAAATAATCCAATTGACTTACCTTGTTTCTCGAGTATTTTCATGAGATAGGGCTTGGAGCGAACATCAATATAATCACCTCTGCAAGTTCTAGCCATAGATGCTTTCCTACGGACTTTACCCCCTGAGAAAGGATCGTGATCTTTTCTGACGTCGCCGTCGAACAGTGCGGGTTCATCGCTGCCTTCTTTGTATCCGAGATCCACTTTCGCCTTATCTTCATCTCCTGTATCGGAGAGTTTGTATTCAATTTGGACTTTGCGCCTGGGGAAAGAAGACATGGTGGTAGACGCGAGTTGGCTGGCGGCGGTGGCACCACGGCAGTGAACCGACGGCTGGCTTGATGGGCCCTGGATCTGCAGAAAGAATAAGGCCTAATCCGACAAGTAACCATAGCCAATTGAGATTTTAAATTCGAAATTATAGGATGCTGAAATAATTTTATTGTAAATTACACTTATGATCCCTGATTGAATTATAATTATATATTTGATTACTATATTATTAATTTGTTTTGAATTTGGTCCCTATAAATAACAACCGTTAATTGATCTGTTAATTTGAGGGCAATTCCGTCTTCTATCTTTTTATCTAATTTTTCTGATGAAAAAATAAACAAATATATTATTATTATTATTATTATCATTATTTATATTATATTATAAATTATAAAATATATATTATCTTCGTCTCTCATCCAACATTTGATTACTAAACACCAAACAATTTCAAGGTGTCGGCGATTGATTCTGGATCTGGAGGGATATTTATCGATAATTTTTAAGTCTTGGAGGTTTAATACAGATTTGGAGGTGAAGTTCATCGATTATCTCCATTTCTGGTCGAGGTAGTTGTGGACTTAGAAGTTTTGCCAATTGAGCGCATGTTTACAGTGGATTAAAGGCCCGTAAAGTCATCCGATTTCTGTTTTGCCGAATTCCACCATTTCGGGTAAGGATGTACGGAAAACCAACAACTCATGAAAACCCCACCCAACCCAACCTGCTAACAGCCCAATTAAATCTGATCCGCCAATCCGCTAACCCACCAATTAAGAGAGGGTTGAAATTGGGTTAGGCCTAGCTCAACCGCCCACCCGTCCAACCCGCCACTGATGTATAATTTTTATAAATTTTATTTATGTATGTGTTTATTATATATATATATATATATATATATCAAATGTATATGTTAGCAAAAAGAGATTAACGATCAATAAATGATGACAACGAATGTAATTAATAAAGAGAAATTTTTTGAAATCGTTTTTTCAATAACAATAAATGAATATGTCAGAGAATATGAATGATGTTGATAGATATTTAGTTAATGAATCTATCAATACAAAGACTCCCTTATTTTATGTTGTACTTTGGTGGAAATAAAATGCGTAGTTATAACATTTCACTATAACAACATTAGGTTGTATAAAATGTCTAACATGTCTAAGCGTCCTAATATGATAATTTGTAGGACGAAACCAAAAAGTGTCTAATCTAAAAGAGTTACAATATGTTTATAAGATGCTTCTGGACGTGCTAACAATTTTTTATGACACTTTTAAAATAACATGTCGTATCAGTTATTTTTATAATATACTACTGGAAAGAAGTTTTATGAACACAAGTGTCCTACAAATAGATGAGTTTACTGGACACTTCTCAAAATGTTTCTATAAAATAAATAGTACAACATTTTATTTAAAAAGCGTTTTAAAACACTTGTAGAAATGCCAAAAACGCCATATAAACCTACTGTAACATTTTTAGATATGATGTTTTGTAGTTTGGTTTTATAAACTTAAGTCTTATGAACATTTCATTCGTCAAATTTATGTAACTACTAACCCGTCAACCTAACCCAACTCAACCCAACCCAACCCGCTCCAACCGACAAGGGTTGGGTTGGTTTGGTTTATAATTTTGAATGAGTTGGGTTGAATTGAGATTTTTTCAAACCGCCATAGTTGGATTATAAAAATGTCGTAAACTGCCCAACCTAACCCGCACACACCCCTAATTTTGGAGGACTTTTTAAGATTTTTAGTTGCTTTGAAGTTTTTTGGTCGATTTCAAGAGAATTTTTCTGCTTTCATAGAGACTTTTTGGTTAATTTCGAGAGACTTTTTCGGTTTTTTGGTTGATGTCTCTTGTAATTTTCTAATATCCTAGAGCACCCCTCAAAGTTTACTGTATGCTTCTTTCATCCCCCCCCCCCTCCTAAAAAAAATTATGTTCGTTAAAATCGGTTGAGCTAGTATAGGGGACCTGCTAGGGCCTTTACAGATTTTCCCTTGCATTTAACAACTGGTCACCAAACACTAACTATTTCAAGACTATTGTCGGGAATTGATTTGGGATCTGTAAGGTAATAAAAAAAATCGACTTACGAGTTCGACTACGAACTGGAGGTGGTGTTTCATCGACTAACCTATTTTTTTGTTTTCAAATTTGGAGAAGAAAACCCATAAAAATAGGCTAAAGTTGAGGGAGAAGAGGGAGTTGGGGTAAAGGAGGGGGAAGGAATGAGGCGGGGGTCGATGTTGCTGCTATTGGTCTAGTCGGAGAACTGAAATGAATAGAAGGGGTGGGTGGTGGGGGATTCGGGAGCCATAGATGAGGGTTCACCAATGGAGGTATGTTGATCCAAACTCTTTTAGTGATTTGATGATGACCCTCGATACTTGGTGAAATATGTTTATTCTACTTTTGTCCAGTTTCAACGATTATCTCTGAGTCTGTTTAAGTGATCGCTGAACATGTAGTATAAACTTCTAAAAGAACAAGTATTCCTCAAAGACAAAACTTACACCAAAGGAACCTTCAGCAATGCCGAAGAAGTAGCTGAAGACAGAGACAACAATTCATGATCTGAAGTGGATTTAGTGACAACAAGTATGTCTAAATCAAAGTGTGAAATCTGATTAAGATTCAGAAAACATTGAAGAATCTTTAGAGATGAATTAATGTCAGCAATCAAATGAATCTTACTCTAGAAAATTAGCTTTTGTCTTATCCTCCTGCAAAAAAGGACAACCCCAATACCCCATACCTCACACAGAAAAGTAAACGTACAAAGTTACTTTATTGTCTAAAAATGTGCTTACCAACTTTGTGATAGTCAACTGTTCATATACGGCCAAAAGCCTGCATATCTGAAGACAAATGACAAGCTCTCCACTAGAAGTTTGCCATGTGGCTTGTACCTTGTTAGACCCATAACTCTCATATGTAAAAGTAATGAAAAATGTACTAAGTATGGAAGTTTGGAGACCCGATGGAAATCCAGAAGAAGGAGCTGAAAAGATTGTAAGTGCTGAAGACAAACCAGAGATACCATGAAGATCCAGAGAGGCTATGAAGACCTGAAGTACTTAGCCTTATAATCATCCACTTATGAAGAGTTCATAAGGTCGATGAACTTAACCTTTCAATAACCCCTCTGATTTTGCAGCAACTGAAGAATCTCTTCAAGTGTCAACCATAGTTCGATCAGATCTACTCAGGCAAGTAGATACATGAAGAATACTGATTGGACACACTACGTGAAAACAGCTGGACATGACTCATCGCCAACATGAATTCTATTATTCTAGGTAGTTAGAGATAACCTCCATCTTTCTAAATAGATATCTTCTCCTTGTTTATCTCATATATATCCTATCCTAAATTGTTATCTCTTAGACTAGATTGCTAGTATAAATAGCATTCATATGTCTTGTAATTCTATACACCTTCTCATTATCGTTATTATAGTGAAATTGTTTGAAAGCTTCATACGTTCTTGAGTATCGTTCAAGCTATTCATCATTTTCTTCATCCAAAAGATAGATTTAGGTTCTTATACTTAAATCTTTGTGTTAAACTGAGAGATCTGGGATCGACAATTGGTATCAGAACAGATTGATTGATTTTCCAATCAAAACGATCAATTTGAATCTAAACATTCAATACTCTCAATTTTTTTCCTCAAGTTCTTCGAAAAAAAAAATCTCCAAATCTATCTCAAATGGCCAATTGGAATTATGCATATTGTAAGTCCTCAAATATGATCAATCTACAAATGTCTTCTATGAATCTATGGCAGAAATGATATGAACATTAAGAACTCTTGAAGGAGATGAGAGAATATGTCAAACTTTGGTCAAACTTTACTATACGTACAAATATTACAATGAAGCTCCTACACAAACTCACAAAGGACAAAACTATTTATAGGGTCAAAGATCAACCCACTAGTCAAAGTCAAACATTACACACAAAGTCAAACACGATAACTTATACAATTATAGACAAAATTAAATTTTCAAGACGAATACAATTTATACTGAAATTCAGTCCTAATATTCCCCCTCTTTGTATTCAGGCTTGAAAGTATTTGCACGTGTTGAATCTCGTTTGAACTTTGTCTCTTTAAGTTCTTTATGACTTCTTCAAAAACTTCAAAACAATCTTCACTTGAAATCTTCAGATGATTGAGAAAGTCTTCTAACATTCTCTCCCTCGAATATAGAACAACGATGATCTTCTCTTTTAACAATGTAGAACAATATCAGTAATAATCTTCAGAAATGATCTTCAAGATACGATCTTCAAAGAATTTCTTCAGACAAATAGATTCTAACATTCTCCACAAAAATGAATTTCTTCAGATAAAAACAAACATTCTTCTTCAAAATTAAACAATCTCTTTGACGAGAAATCTCTATTAATAATTTTTGTAACGATGATCTTCACATTCAAAAACTCTCAGACATTGTAGCATAGGAATAATCTTCAGCAATAATCTCCAGTCACACTCCTTTGAATATTTTGCCGATCTTTGATGTTACTCCCCCTTGATCTTATACATCAAACTCCCTTTTTATCGTTCGGAATTGAACATTTCATTCATTATTTCATACTATGATGAAATGAGAATCATTAGCATCATACACCAAAATGAATGAAATCTTCAGCGAAAACCGTCAATTCAAAAATTGTAAGCAGATCTTTTCAAATCCACTTGTATAATCTTTTCAGATTAAGGGAATGGGAAGGTAACAACCAATTTCAACTTATGAAATTGTTTTCAACTTTATAAAAGATTGGCCTGTGAGTATATAACAAATATACTCAATACAACTGATGTACTACATATATGAGACTTTTTAAGGTTATCTCACCAGGTCTTCCATTCAATTATCGATATCTTATAAAAGAATATCTATGAATGTTTCAGCAAACTAACATATAATTTGCAAAATCTATGTAGTGTAGAAAGATAAAGCAACATATGCTTTTGTTTAGTCTCAAAAAGATAAACCGTGTGGACTACACAAATTTATCAGACTCAATGCATGATCAAAAAGACTTGAAGGGGTGACATATATCCT